ATTATCAAAAATGAAAACGAAATAAAATTTTTAGATGCTTTGTCTCTACGAAAAGCATAAAATGTATAAAATCATATCAAATACATCTATCAGTTCTAATAGATCATTACACCATTTCAATGTAAATTGACGTTAGGATACCAAAACGAGGCCCTGGCCTGTGGAAGTTCAATTCTAACTTTTTAAGTAACGATGCCTATTGTTCGTGAAATAAAATAAATTATTAATATTTTAAACAAAGAAAAAGACGCATTAAATAGAAATATTTAAATTTGAATTAATTGAAGTGTGAGTTGTAGAATATTCCATAAATTAATAATAGAAAATTAATAAAGAAATACAAAAAAGAAAGCTAGGCAAAAAGCAATAGAACAGTCAAATGAAAACCCATGATGTAAATGATGAATTAAAAAAACTGGATTTGAACCAAAGATCTTATAAACACAAGATACCGTTCTCCGCGATTTACACATAAAAAATAGAAGCGTCGGTCAAGGTTCAAAAGTTTCCAATTAATCAAGAGGGTGCCATTCATGCGTTATTACCAAAGAGAGATCAGTTTTGGAAGAGGGCGTCCTATCTGTTGCCATGGATCTGAGATGGTTCCTGTTCTGCTGTTCATGGGATTGTTTGCATTTAACCTAATAAACTCTGGGCCTAGGCCTAAATAATATTATTAATATTATTACTAATTACTGTATCACATTGCTGGTTGAAACATTATTTACCTGTTCTTGTCCTTCGGAAATTTGTAAATTTATGGTGAGGATTTGCCTTTGAATTGCTTTTGCAAACCGCACAATATTTTCCTCCTCTAAACCTCATTTCATTAATTAATTCATTCATTCATAGTTATTTCTTAATTTTTACTCACTCGGAAAGTTGTTACGCCAAAATTCGTTACCAAGTACGATAATTGTTTTAAAGGGATGGCGCATTGTACTAAATCGACACATCTAAGTGTTACGTGTAAAGGTAAAGCATTCATTTTTACCATGATGATGTCATCAAAGTGAAAAATAAAGGACACATTCCCCTACACCAACAAAACAAAACAGGGGTTTCAGCAAGGACTGTACATCATTGCTATTACCACTGATAATGCACGTCACATGAATGGCGCGGTCGGATAAATATGCGTTCTAAAGAACGCCACTGGGATGCAACTCAATGTCAATATAAATGTCACCATATGTAAGTGTTCTTTATGAAAAGAGTACCCAAAATTGATCTCGCTATACAGAACAAAGTTATGTATAAAAGTAGATTGTGTCAAAATTCTAGGCATAAGTGAAAACCTTAAATGGGATAAGCATGTTGATAATTTAGCACATAGGGTTAACGGCGAACTGTGTATGTTAAAAATCGTAAAAAAATTTTGCCTTTCGAAAGTTGAAATTTTCACAATTTAAAGGTTATTAGAATATTTTGCTCCTGTTTGGAATGCTGGGTTGACCTTAGGACATACAAAAAACTTTATAAAGATTACAAAAAAGATGTCTAAGAATTATCTTAGGTAATAACTACATTAACTATAGTGAAGCTTGTCTCAGATGTAACGTTGAGCCCCTTTCTGAATATAATATTTGACAAGGGGGGATGGTCCATTGTATCATCCACCCTAATATTTTGACTATGTATGGGATAAAATTAAACTTTACACACTTCAAAAAGACTGTCACAGAAATAATTTGCAATGTCTTATGCGCCTACAAAGATGAAAATTAGCATAATGATGTTGATAACAAAATTATTTTAATCTAAGCTCTTATTTCCTTAGGTGTTAGTTGTGTTTGCAAAGCAAGCCACATTTTCACACTGAAGGGTGTGTACGACATCAGTAATTTTATGTCAATTCCAAGAATTTTTACCAATCCAATCCAACTGCCTCTAGGTGCAGCTTCGTATGTTTCTGCACCAAACTAAGGCAAAAACACTCGGTGCTGCATCAACCGGGTATATATGTCAACAGACGTCAGGGCCCTCTTTCCAGAGGTGTTATCACTCCTTCAGTTAACCCATATTAAAATATACTAGTAGATTTAGGTAGTTCTTAGTAGAAGTATCTCTATTCTTAGTAGGCTTTATAGGCTGGTAGTAGATTTTCTTGTCTCGACTACTAAGGATTTTAAGATTAATTTTATGGCTACATCCTGACTACACAAAATATATAGCTGATAAATAGGTACTCTCTATAATTAGCGACACAAGTAGTTTTATTATAGTTGTTGTAGCGCTATTTATGGTAGATCTGTGAGCTACACCATTGCTAGTAGTTGTTAATAGGCTTTATTAGTGCTAATTTTAATAGGTGCGTAATAGACCATAAAACAGCTAGTTTTTGTGTAGGCTTCTTGTAGCCTCTATCTATCTATTGATAATATATATTAGGTAGGTGAATAATATAAGTTAATTGTTAGTTTGTTAATAGGTTGTAGATAGTATCTGTCTAGAGATTATAAGCAGATTTAGATAGACATTATGCAACTATGCTACTGATAGTTTTATAACACACTTGTTGTAGCCTCTATCAATATACTTATAATATATATTAAGTAGGTGAATAATAAAAGTTAATTGTTAGTTTGATAATAGGTTGTAGATAGTATCATTCTATAGATTATAAGCAGACTTAGATAGACATTATGCAACTATGTTACTAATAGTTTTATAATACACTTGTTGTAGCCTCTATCAATATATTTATAATATATATTAAGTAGGTGAATAATAAAAGTTAATTGTTAGTTTGTTAAAGGCCAAGTGCGGGTTTGAAATAATTAATGTTTGATATAAAATAGAGGGATGGGGGACCACAAAGAACGAGATGTCACTTGATTTTGGAGCACGGTATTCGAAAACGAGGCTCATGAACTGGGTCCCAAAAACGAAGTGGTGCTACAGGATTTTGAGCTAGTGTTAAAAGATAGGGAATTTCCTAAAATGGACCGACTTCAAATGCTTGCATTCGGTAACCCAATAACAAAATCGTGTCAAACTTTAGATATTTCAACGTAAATTTGGCCGTTCTTTTCATTTATATGGGTTTTCACTTATGAAAATGTCTCATTTATGTGTAAAATAACAGTTTGCCCCAGTTTTTGTTTAATGAATTTTGCACTAGACAGGGAGTCAGCTGATTCACTCAACCGTAACGAGATGTTAACACAGCCAACTGATGATGAGAATGGTCGTCGCGAGCGGAAAATTGAAAAATCGGGTTTGGCGAAAACATTTAATAATAATAATAATATAATAAATCGATTGCATTTTTGAAGAATGAATCTTTCAAACAACGTTTGCCGGTAGGAATATGGAAGTCTTGGAAGTAGTGGTGTTAGAAATGGCGTTAAATAGGTTTGTACCAACTTGTCTTACCTGTGTAGACCTAATGCTGGTCTGTCCAGTTACCTCATGCGAGTGGGAACGCAACTTCTCAACATTAAGGCAACTCAAGACCTGGTTGAGAAACAACATGACTCAAAGGAGGCTAAACTATTGTGCGCTGGCCAACATCCACAAGTCAAGTTTTGATCAATTCCGATGAAATTAGAATTAAAAACACAAATTTTTTGCATGCATTTTTCTGGGCTTTATAGGGTTAGCTTTCTAAGTTATTTAAGCACATAATAGTCCCAGACCCAAGAAAGAAAATTTAAAAAAGGCGTAGATCGTTTTACCTAAAAGAAGGACCTCAATGTGTAATGATGGTGAAAGAATATGTTTGTAATAAATAAAGCCATAACGAAAATGATTTTATTCAGTTTCAAAAAAACATGTGTGGCCATACAGTATATAACATAAGCCCTAAAAGCAAAAAAAAAAAAATGTGCGTGCTTTGCTTGCATTTTTGAGGGTGAGAATTTGTGCTTGTCCTCCTTTCCCTTCTAAGTTAATTGAACAGTCCCAACTCAAATAGAAAAAACATTTAAGATAGATCTTTTTACCTAAAAAATTATTACCTTTTAGTCTAGAACTGAATTTTACCTCTGCTGTATGGCATTGTATCTCTAGAAATTCTGCTTTAACATGGTAAATGAACAACTTCATGATCTACTGTACTGTAACAACACTACAACAGAGTAATAATATACAGAATAGTGTGATAGTGAAACACATATATACACCTACTTTTCTGCGACAATATGTACTTATTTTTAAAAATTTGAATAATTAATGAATGTAATTTAATAGTCTCTAATTTAAACTGAGTCGATCCATAGATGCCAGGGACGATCGCCACTGCCACCAGGAAAGCTCGACAGTACATCATCATATTTTTGGCGCAGCCATTTCTGGCTTTTGGTACTCCAGCCAAGGCCGACCGTGCTGCAATTTTGTTAGAAATTTTCTGTTTCTTGATTCGTTCTCATACCTTCATTGTGTAGACATAGTTTTTTCATTTGTTTTGTTTTTTTAGTTGGTGGTGTCAAACAGTTTTCTAAATATCTCCACATTCCAGGACCTTGACAGTCCAAATGAATATTTCGGCCTTTCTGTACACGTGAACGAAAATCGATGAAAAGTTTTAAGTTTGTGTCACGTCATCATTCGTCCCCTACCTTTACGTCACTGTAAGGGAATGCCCAAATGTCGATTAAGAAAACAACAACAGGTGCGGGGAGCAATTATAGTATGATGAAGTCGTATATTTTTTTTTTTTTTTTCTATTCTAATAAATTATATGTTGACATACTTTTTATTATTATATATGTTCCCCACTTGCACCAGTTACTATAAGATTTGTAGAATAGGGCAACGACATGTTTTATAAAGATAGGATGAAGAGATAATAAAAGATCATCTCTCTTAGTTTATGTCATTTATACACAGTTCTAAGGATGCTTAGCCTATGATGAACGATTGGTCTTTCGAATGCACGATAATTAGAAAATAAATGATGTACCCAATCTGTACCAGATACCATAAGAGTGATATGTGATTACAAAGGAAATTGCTCAGTTATTAAACATTTTTATTCATATTTCTATAATATGTAGAATGGGGTAACAGCATTGTACGCAAGTGCTCAAGATGGTCATACTGATATTTGTAGGCTTCTCATTCAGTCAGGAGCCAACAAGGATATTCAGGTGGAAGTAAGTGTGATGTTACATTTTTGTTCCTGGTCTATTCAATTTTATGAATTAAATCTGATATATTTTGTATGCTAATTGGTTATGTTGTATATTTTTTCAGGATCCATAATCTAATATACTTCATATGTTGACACGATATATTTTTATATAACCACCCCATCTGTACCAGATACCATAAGAGTGATATGTGATTATAAAACAAAAGTGCTCACTTATCCAACATTTTTATCCCTTATTAGTATGAAATGTAGAATGGCGCAACGACATTGTGTATATATATATATATATATACATACATACTTACACACATATATACATACATAGGCCTACACATACACACATACATACATTCATACTGACTTTCATATGCAGAAGCCATATTCACAGGCATTCTGTCTGTTGCTGTCGTCGAGAACAGACGTGTTTTACTAACGCTTCTACTAAGGCCAGGGTTGTTTTATCGTGGAGGTGTGCTTAGAAGTATCGTTCAATCTTCCCGCTATTAGATGCGGTTCCATATCAAAAGCCACCTGCCTTGCAGTTTAGTACATTATACCATACCCTGTCTTTCATATGCAAAAGCTATATGCATAGACATCTGCCTGCTGCTGCTGCTGTCGTCAAGAACAGACATGCTTAGGCGCGATCTACAAATTATTCCCAACGACAGAAACGCGTCTGGGAAAACCGTGTATTACAAACGCGTCTGGGAAAGCGATCGTCTAATTATCGTGCCTCATGAATATTAATAAGCTAGTCGGAATATGTCCCAGACGCGTCTAAACGGGTTTGTGCTGTTGAACGCGTTTGCCATTGTTTCTATTGTTTTGGGCGACAAACGCGTCTGTGTCGTTAAGACCAGGCCCCGGTTGAACTACCGTTTTTGTACAATTTAAAATACTGAACAAGTTTTACTTTGAAATGAACCAAGTTCAAAGTTTAAAGGCTGCATAGTCCTAATAGTTAAATTAAGTGGTAATGACCGATAATGGTAG